GTGGGATTTGAAACTCAGGGTACCAGAACTTTGGGCAATCACAACTTCGAAAGCACAGGTACGCCTTTGTGGCTCAGGCTTTCTTGCCGCGACACCAGCTGGTTCTCCTGCAGGAACGCATCCTGACAACGCAAACGCGTCCGCGCGAGCCCCAAAACACTACTCTGGTCAGGCGGTGAAGTGCCTCGTTCTGTTCGAAAAGAGAAGGAGCACACAGAGCCTTTGTAGAACTGCCCCAGTGGGATCTGAGACTGAGGGTACTCATCGGGCAGTCTCAACTTCGCAAGCAAAGGTTCGCCCTGCCGCGACGTTTGCTGGCTCTCCTGCAGCAACACATCCAGACCACGCAAACGCGTCCGAGCACGACACTGCTCGGGTCAGGCTGTGAAGTGGTTTGCTCTGTTGCAGGAGAGAAAAAGTAGACTGAGCCTTTGTAGAACGTCCCCAGTGGGATTTAGAACATCGGGCAGCCCCAACATAGAAATCAACAGTGCGCCTTTGTGGCTCAGGCTTTCTTGCTGCCACACCAGGCTCTCCGGCAAGAACACATCCTGACCACGCGTCCAAACGCGTCCGAGCGAGGCACAAGGCAGTACTCGGGTCCGGCGGTGAAGTGCCTCGCCCTGGAGGAGAGAACGGATAAAGAGACCCTTTGTAGACGGGCCCCCTTCCTGTGACACCAGCTGGCTCTCCTGCAAGAACACATCCTGACCACACGAACGCGCCCGCGCGAGCCACACAACACTAGAGACGTGTTTCTTGTCAGCTCGCTGCGCCATGATAGTCGCATTGATAGTTGCATGAAAGGAGGCATTCGCTGGCAGCATGCCGCTCCAACCGCTCCAAGGGGCTGCCTCTATCGGGCAGGGACACCCTCGGCAGAAGTCAGAGACATCCCTGAGACATCCACTTCCGCGAAGACATGCTCAAGGTAGACATTTCAGCGCAATTTTTTTTAGCGGCCGACGACAGGATGCAGGTCAGGGAGCGACTGATGTACTGCAACATATGGCATTACCCCAAGAAAAACTGCCCCGCGTTTGCCCAACCCCTGGTGGCCTCTGTCGCCATCTCGGCAGCAAACTCTTACGAATTGATGTCCCAAGAACTGGCGCATAACCCTCCAGCTGCAATGAACCAGAGGTCGTGACTTTTGCGGAAAATGTGCGAACACCCTCTTTAAGAGGAAGCAGCTACATAAGGGAGGGCTATCATTTGGGTATCGTCTTGGGCAGCGTCCAGGAATTGCCACGTTGACCACATGCTGCTATGGAACTGTTCAACCTCATTTCGGCATAGCAAATAAACCCTGGAGAATCGTTTTTGGAAGTTGGCATCCTCTTCCCAACGCCCTATTCCTGGTTTCATGCAGGCGCATGCGCCAGTTGGAATGTGCGTCTGTGAAGCAGCCCTCTCCGATGCTGCATGAGATACAAGAGGCTGCGGCCACAGAACCTTTGGAAAGACGAGGGAAATTACGGGTATGAATTCTGCATCTTCCTGGAATTGTTGGCATAGCAAACGGGCTCTGGAGTATCGATTTTGGAAGTAGGCATCCTTCTTCCAACCGATACGCCATATTCCTAGTTTTAGCGCACCTCTCCCAGATTCATGCACCAGTTGAAGTGCGCCCGGTGAGGAAACCGAAAAGAGGCTCATGCCAGCTGCAGCGACAACCCTGCCGTGGTTCTTCCCCCCCAGAATTTCTGGAAAGGCAGGTTCCCGGAATTAGGAGGTTGGGTTGGGGACTCTTCATGTCCGTCATGCACCGAGTAGTGCATGAATATTTCCACAGGCAGTCCTCATGCATGCCGTACAGGCCATAGAGTGATCTCTAGCCGTAGATGTTCTTATTCTGCTCCCTCGCCACCCCCCCCCCCGCCCTCCCCCTCTACTCTTTTTTCCTACTTGGTCGTGCCTTCTGGATGCTGGTAGTTGTGGCCTTTGTCTGTGGTTGTTCCTTGGGATGACTTGCGCAGGTCTTCACAAGCTGAATCAAACCGCCAACTCTTCGCCTGGCGGAAGCGATTGCTCCAACACAGGGTGAGAGAGGCGCGGCGGAATGTGTTAGAGTATGCTTTCGTGGGGATGCTTCGCAACAAGTGAAACAAAAGCATGCATGTTTCGGCAATGTTGTGGTTTTCAATTGCGGAGTATGCTACAGGCATGCTTCGCAAAGGTCTGCATCCGGTCTTCACAAAGACGTGAACCCCCCAAGGATGCCCAAGCCGGTGTTTTTGTGGCAACCCGGCAATCTTCGTTCTTGCCAGTGCTCCGCGCACCGGGACAACTCCCACCCCGGAAAGGTTCGGGCCACTCTGACAACAACCATGATCAGATCAAGGCAACTGTATCCTGTGCAACGGCAGCCTTGGATGCAATGCTGGAGATAAGCCTTTTCCCGCCTTTGGGGACATTTTGCCTTAAGGCGAACCCATCGTCTTTGGCAACGGCCTCATCGGAGCTGGGGCTGCTTGGCGGCTTGGTCAGGTAAACGTTGCACGGAGTTGAGAGGACCAAACTCCAGCATGCAAATGTACTTCGTCATGTACTTCGTTCTGTACTTCGTGGAGAGAAAGGTTACATCATGTTACATCCACAAAAGGCATCTCCGCCGCCACCGTGACGAGCGCCTCGGCCACCTTGTGGACACCTGTGCCTTGGACAAAAACAGCGGGGCTAAAACAAGTAAAGCAAAAGAGTGGGAAAGAACAAATGCACATGGGTTCGATGTGTTCAAGCCAGGCGTCATGTTAGTTGCGTTTAATTGGTGGCCATACATATGCTACCTTGCTAAATTCTTCATTCTTTCCATCTGCAGTGGCATTTCTGCCTTGTGTTAGCTGTTAGCTCAACGGGCAAGGGCAACTTCCCTCACACCATTGCCCTCCTCAAACCACTGATGACACACCATGGCTTATTTGAATCAAAAGATGCCACATGTCCAACAGGATACATTACATTACGTTCTTTCTGCGGAAGACAGCACTCTTCCAAGTTGCAATGCTGTCGCGAGGCATCTTGGGGTATCAAGCCGAATTCCAGAACAAACCCGAATGGGGAAGCAAGTCTGCCACCAGGACGCTGCGAAGCAGACCTGTCCCAGCAGGCATCCGAACATGACTTTGCTCCTGCAATGAACCAGCACTTGCTTTGGTGTTTGTGTTTTTCTAGGCGAGGGGTAAACAAACAATAAATGTGATAACTCAAAGCAAGCCTGTAAGGACCTTATTGCAATGTGGCTGTGTAGACACATGTTCGACAAGGCTTTGAAAGCTGCGCCAAGTTACGTACAACTACAACAAGGTCTCGCGTGCTCACGAATCATGCAACATGCTTGTCCGGAGTCTCTAGCTCTTTTTCAACTTTGGTCGGGCTCCTAATGTTCGATACCTGAGGTTATGAACATATGCTACCACTACAATCACCCTATTATTTTTGGGACGACAGGACGTTACTACTTCTACTATTACTATGACTATGACTATTACTATTGCTATCACTATCACGATTGCTATTACTATCACTATTACTATTCTTACCGTTATTTCTATTTTTTACTATCAATGATTCATATTGTCGATGATTACTTTTGCTATCATGATTTCTACTGCTACTATTATTACTAGCGTTGCTGTTATTACTTCCTCCTGCGGCTTGCACGGCCCATCGCTTCTGCGTGTCGCGCTTGCGCAGTGCGGCATCCCTCTAGAACTCAGAACTCTTGCACCCCCAGCCAGGCAGCCCCTGGGCTTCTGGCGCTAGAACCATGAATACATGCAAGTGTTGAAATGCGTTTGCAACTTTAGGGCCTTGCCTGGAAACAATAAGAGCAGGATGCCAAATGGCTTCTGAGTGTGGGGAATTTCCCTTGTGTGGCTTCAACTTCCTTCGTGGGATCCTCAAACCTCGAACTGGAAGCTGCAGTCTGTCACTAGCCTGTCCTGCTGTAACTGCCGTAGGACTCCAACGGAAGGAGCGGCACCTGCAAGGCGCCGGAAGTTGCTGCGAGCCAAGGCTGGAGCCCAGGCAGGTTAGTGGGTGTTCCTGCTGTCCGAGTCAGCGCATATCGCTTCCGCTTGCTTGCGGGCTGTTTATTTCAGCTGTTTGCTGCATACTCTGCACCGGAGGCCTTCTGACAAAATCGCCAACACCGCAGCTCTTGGGAATCATCCCTGAACTTGCACAGGCTCGACAGAGCACCCGGAGCTATGGACATGTGCCTCATCGGACGCCGTGCATTCTTGACATTGATCAAACATATCCAACGTGCGGAGGCGCAGCACCTTACAGCTGAACGTTTCGATTTCCAGAAAGCTGCAGGCCAAATCCGGCGTGCAGTCGCCTTCAAGCGAATCTCTGCAAAGGGTCGTCGCTCGAGATGACACGTCAAGACCTTACGTAAGACTGCGTGAGACCTGAGCACCCACTCCGCTGGGAAGCCTTTCCGAAGACGGGCGGAACCTGAGTAAGGCTTGAGGCTTGACTAGTGTGACTAGTGTGCCAGCATCGCCTCCGGCAGCTTTCAAGCACTCGAGAAAGCACAACCTTTCGTGGAAGAAATGAGACTAGGTACGAGGAACATGTGCTGGGTTGCCAATCCAAGCTAGTGGAACATCAATCAAGTCTTATGGCAACAAGGTGCTGACTGGCAAAGACATGCCTGGGCGCTACGAATTTGGTGGCAGCTGTGTGATCCACTTTGTTTACGTCTGGTACGACTGAGAGCAGTAAGTGCTGGCAATCGAAAGTCACAGCAAGGCCGCATTTTTACCGAAAGTGCATCCTACTTTTGGCCTACAGCTGCCTCGTGAGCCCGCGTTCTCAGGCCTGGACAAACCTTTGCTCCGCATGGAGCCTTTTTTGCTCAAGGTTGCAACCGGTGAATGGGTGAATGTGCTGCGATTTGGGGTACACACTTGCAGGACTTTTGGGCAAGCCTCAGAGATCTCTGAGCAGTGAGTTGAGGGCATCCTCCTTTTCTGGTCTGCAGATGCTTCATGAAGCCTGTGCAAGAGCAACCATTGGAAACGCGACAGTGCGACCACTTCTCCGTAGAGAGTTGGCAACGGAAGTCCGAGGCTTGGATGTCGCTAGTGGCCATGGCATCTTGGGATGTCGTCCAAGCTCTGCGAAAGATGGCAGGTTGGACGCAAACACACAAAGAGTTGGCCCAAGCCGGGAGTTTGCAATGCATTCGATGGCTGTTCTCCGCAGTGCTAAATGGAAGAGTGTTTCTTGACGCAGCAGGGCCTTTGCTGGAGGCCGCAACAGCGTCTGGAGATGAATCAATGAAGGCTGCAGCTGTGCCTTGGTGGGCGGGGGCTGCGTTGGCAGCTCCGTTCACCGCATAAAGCTGAGAAAGCTGTTGGTAACTCCCGTCGTGCCTTGCTCGTTGCCAGACTTTCCGGGTCACTGGGTCGGCAGAACGGCCTGCGATGGACACAAGTGCTTTGGTTCAAGGCGACCAAGCCCACGCAGCCTTGACAGTGGTGGCATGCTGTGTCTGCGCCGGTGGCACAGAGTGGAGCCGAGGGAAGGCGCAGCGCTTCCGCTGCGCCTTCCCAGCGCCACATCACGCCGAGACCCCCGAGACGCCGAGATTCCTGAACTCGGCCTGCCGTCGTGGTCAGCGCCAGGACAGGAGCCGCGCGAGCCGCTCGAGGCCATCTCTGCCTGCCGCGTCGTGCTTAGCTGGATGAGGCCGTGCCTCCCGCTGCAAGCACTGCAAGCCAAGTGCTGGGGCGACTGGCATCAAGCCGTGGGAGCGCCAGTTCTGCTGGACGCGAGTTGCTTCATGATCTGACACAGCCGACCCGTGTCGCCATCCAGCTCTGCAGCCATGGCCCTGCCCAACTTCAAGTCCTTCAAGTCCAGCGAGTCCAGCGATTTCAACGCAGGCAAGATCCGGCAAGGCTGCAGTGGCATAGGCGGCCCTTTACGCGGCTGTTGCAGGATGCTTGTGGCTAGCTCGCAGCCAACAGCCCAGGCAGAGGAGCAGCCGGCAAAGCGACTTGCGTCGCTGCGCTGTGCAGTGAAGGATTCGAAGGATTCCGTGCCGGCTCACGTCAGGGCTTGCCTGCAGTGATCTGCAGCGCAAAGACACGGAGACAAGAAGCGCCACCGCTCCGTGTGGCTGAAAGCCAGAAGCGCGAGGAATGTAGGAAAGGCTCAGGTCGGTGGCAAAGGCCGACTTTTTCAGCATCTTTCAGCCTGAAGGTGTGAAGGCGTCCGGTCAGCAAAGTGAAGCCGTCAGTACCAGGAACGTGGCAGCAGCAAAGCTGAAGTGTTGCATGCTGCCAGGGCTAATTTGAGGAAGGCGTGAACCCAAAAGACACTGGGCAAAAGCAGTAGACTCAGACGCTAGGCAGAAGCAGAGCTGGGGAAAGAGGGAGCTAACAATTAGCGGATTGGGACAAGATGAATTGCTCGGCTGCAGCCTCAGCAATTGGATCGGCACGTCTTCCAAGCTTGGGCAGCGCTTCGTAGCACCACAGTTTCGACGAGTCAGGCATGCAAACACAATTTCATGTTGAGGTCTGCGGTGCATGACCAGCAAGGTGGGAACCGGGCACGGGGTGATCCCAGTGATTCCGGAGAGCAGAACTGGCAAACAAGGCAAGAAGCTTTGCGCTGCGGAGCAGACTTTCATCAAGCGCAGCGACCTCAACTTGTGCCAGCGGCTTTTCTCCCAGCTGAACTCCTCTTCAGCCAAATGCAGAGCTGGTGTTCAGGCCCGACCTTGCTAGCGCCCCGCAGCCACGAGCTGCAGGCAGGGCCTCATCAGCGAGCAAGGTGCGCTTGGCGCGAGAAAGAACGCGTCCTGCAGACCTGCGTGCGGTGTCGTCAGGTCCTTCTCGGAAGTCAGCTCCCGGGCTGTGCAAGCTCCGGCACCCAACACCAGGAGGCGGCCGTGGCAACATGGCAGCAGGAAGCAGCTATGCGGCTACGCGTATCGGACCTTGCCCTGCGGACGAGCGCAGCGTCTGACACCGTGGCGCTGTCCCAGCCGGACCGGCCTGCACTGCTCTGACTGCTCTGACTGCTCTGCACTCCCGCGGCGTCAGGTCTGGGTTGGCACGCTCCAGCCAAACCCAGATGAAAAAAGGAGCCTTGCAAAGCAGGTGCCTTCTGCGCTTGCTCGAGGTGCCTCGGCCTCGCGAGCTGCAGCCTCAGAGCAAGGCCACGACAGCTACGACCTGAGCCTCAAGCCTCCAGCAGCCTCCAGCATGTCCCGATGTGCAGAGGCCTATGCAGATGCAGCGTATTGCCGAGCCGAGCTGGCCCTGCCTTGGCTGCCTTGCCAGGGACGGGCTCTTCCTCTGCCATCCTGCTCTCACCCGGGCCGTTTCTGAGGTTTCTGAGGTTTCTGAGCTTTCTGAGGCTCGAGGGCACGGTTCAGCAGCTTCATCTATAAGTCCAGGGCCGACGACCTGCAAGCCACGAACGGGCAAGCAGCCGTTGAAAGCGGGCTGACGCCAACTCGCGTCCTAGCAGTCCTAGCACACTTCGCGGGTTCTGGTCAGTCCGGTCCGGGCTCCCTTTGCAGAATTTGCAGATCCTGAGGTCACCCGCAAAGTTCTGGTTTCATGATGGCGTGCCACGAAGCGAGAGCAAACATCCTGCAAACGACGCAACCAAAACTTTGTCAAAGCTCAGCGCAAAAAAATGTACCAAACCATTGTCCAGGCAAGTGGCAAATGAGCAGGCACAAGCGTTGGAAGCAGCTGTTTTCTTGCTCTGGCTTGTTTTTGGGGTACAGAACTCTGTGCTCAAATGATGTTCTAGGTGTAGGTGCCACTTCTACCGGGTACATGGATGTCCACCCAGTCGCGCCTGATGCAGGCGGTTTGTGAGAGACCCGACAAAGTTTCTGCAGGAGCGCCCTAGGACAAGCTGTGAACCAGCGAGCCTTGGTGCAACGGACTCAGACTTCTGGCAGGCACTCGGATTGCAAATCCCGTGGCGCTTGTCGAGGTCACCACGCCTGCAAGCAGCTCTGCGTCATTCAGCAAAGTGACTTGGTCCAGCGAGCTGTCCAATTCCTTTGCATCGAAGCTGCACGCAGTTCCTATTCCCCACAGGTTTGCTGGACCGGTCCGCGCAGATGCCATTCTGAAAGGGCGCCCATCACAAGCTGCTCCGGTTCTTGCAGAAACTTCCTTTGAGGCTCTCCTGTCAAGGCGGCAAACTGCTGCATTCTCAATGCTGATGGCGTCTGGCAGATGTGAGTTGCTGCAGCAAGAATAAAGTATAAAGGCAGCATGGAGCAACTGGCAGCGGCTGCGAACCCCACAGCTGCAAGAGAGCCAACCCCCCGATACTCAACAAGGGGGTCCTTAGGACATGGACACTGCCCTGAATGGATCAAGACCGATAGACCATAGACTGCCATAGACTGTGCACGGATACGGAGTGGACCTTCTGGCCATCTGCAGGGGTGACTGAAGGCCTGCCCAAAAGCAGAAGCTGGAGTATTGAAAGCCATCCCGTCCAGCATCTTGCATTTTGCGCGAGCTGATTGCCAGCCTGAACTGGCTGAACTTGTGTGTGGCCAAGTGCGCCCGAGATGCACATGCCTTCACGAGGATGCCAAAGGTTGCCCACGTGGCGGAACTGAGCTCAGATCAGGATGCGCACGGGCGTGCTTGCAAGGTGTGCAGTGTGGTACTTAAAGCTTGCGCGGCTGCCAACCCAGACTCTTGTGACGGAGTACTCCATGTGGTGGATGAGGTGGCAGGCGGCCATGTGCTGCTGGGTGCAGCCGACCAGAAACGCTGACATGGATTGTCTTCAGGGGCTCCACTCGTTCAGCTTCCACCAGGACCAAGGTTGATTGGCAGCCTTGCTGAGATTGGCTTCAGGAAGGTCTGGCACGCTGGCCATGCTGCGTGGGCAGCGACTTCGTGCACACCTTTGGGGACCAAATATGCCGAAAGCTCCGTCAGTGCCGGCAACGACGCCTGAAGGAGACAACTTTCGGGAAAGCACGAGGTAGCAAAGAACTCAGTGCCATGTCTGCCAGCGCAGCTAGAATGGGTTGCAAGAGTCAGGCAACAGACACTTGCTCCCAGCTGATAGGCTCCCGACCTCTGCCACATTTGTCCCCACAGCTACATGGCTCCACCCCGGAACGTGGGGTTTGCAACCAGCCTGGGCAGCCCTTGCGACAAAGCTCTGTACAGAGGAGGAGGTCTTGCGGCACCCCGCTGTGTCAGACCTACTTGCTGATTCAACGAGAGGCCCTTGCCAGAGTCTCTGCTTCAGCCAGTTCGAGGCCCGACAAACTGGGCTTCAGTTCGGGCAACATCTCAAGCTTTGCATACTGCACCAAACGGCGCTGCCCGCACACATCATGCTAGCTAGCAGATGGAGACATATGCTCCCAAAAGAGCCAAGCAAGAAATTGACCAATTAATATGGCGTGGGGAGCTCCTGTCCCCGAGGTCGCCGATTATGTGAGAAATTGCAGCGCAAGACTGCGACAAAAGCTAAGAAGCTGTCGGCGCGGCAACGCCATGGTCTTGGACGAAGGTTAAGTCTCGCAAAAAGTAAATCCAGCCTTCCTGTTTGCATCGCCTCGTCAGTGTAGTGGGGCAGTAAGGGTCTTCTGGCTTTCTGCACCCCCCAAACCCCCCAAACCCCCTTCGCACCCTTCCAGAATCTTCACAAGGGCTCCTTCTCTCCTAGAGCCCAGCGTCGAGTTCCTGAGATGGGGAGCTTGCAGAGATGACGGGCCTCAGGTCTGGGCTAACATGGGTCGGTATGTTAAAGACCCCGGAGGGTTTCACACTGAAGGCAGGTTGCCTTCTGCCACTGTGGAGTCTTAACACCACTGCTTTCGCAGGTGTGGCTAGTGGGTGTGTGACCGTGTGTGCAAGCAAGTTGCTTGACATCCAGTCAGCCATGTCGAGCCTTTCACGCACACTCCAAGGCACGAACACGAGATAAGTCAGATAAGTCAGAAGGCTAGTCGCGCAGCGACCCAAAGGGCACGACGGGCACGATTATGCTGACGACTACTGGCCCCTATCCCGGTCTTGTCAGATGTCGTGGCCCAGTGGAGTGACTGGCGCAGCACCAAGGCTTGGAATGCTGGACATATCGTGTGTAATACACAGGTCGACGAAGGAGCCCTGAATAACGTGCAACGCTGACCACTTTGTTGTAGCCAAACGGCCTGGAAATGCAGGGGTCGCCTTCGGCAGACAAGGCCTGTTGGCCTGACCATACCGAGACTATGCTAGGATGTCAGCGGCAGGGATTTGACCATGGCTCATGTGGCTTGAGAGAGATTCGAGAAATTTGAGCTCTTGTCCACAGGAACGTGACGTCCCAATGATGCTGCTTCATC